CTGCCCAACCCTTTTTTCATTCATTTCTTAATTTTGATTGTGGTTGATTATTTTTTTCTATAGAATACTTTGAGATGCACCGAGCCATATTAAAACATGGGGAATTGGCTTCGAGTTAAAGGCTACAGGGCATCTTTGTTTAGGCTTATATTCCTTCCAGTCCTCAGGCAGCATGAGCACATTATTGTGGGGGGGCACGCCCTCCCCAGACTGTGGTATCTGATGGTCAGGCCGCTGCACGGAGTGCAGTCCGACGTGCCATCGTGTCTCTGCAGCAGATAAACAATACAGGCAGCCCGGGCACAACAAGAGATAAAGAGGCAGGCGGCCTGCATGCCAGTGGGGGGCTGTTTTACTCCACAGATCATCATCAAAGCCCCCGCAAATGCGTTCCATACCCACGGAGCAGGCTCTGTTTATATCACGTCAAGAGATCACTTTGTGCAGCATGAGTCATCGTAGAGATCTTTATCAGGGACTTTTATTTTATTACCCACACTGCCGTGATTGTTATGATTAATATGTACACATCTCTGTCCCCTTCACAAGGCCTGACTTTCAGATGGATTCACAAAAGTGACAATTTCTCCATATGTTTTTCTTTGTTCCCCTGTAAGATAATGGTAATTTGAAAGAAGAGACGGAGTCTGTGAACAGCTCTGCGGATGCCTGCTCTTGGTGTGTGTAAACTGGGGTTATTGTGAACAGATTTTCCGAGTGGGGAGGATAAGGTGGAGAAGAAAGTCTGAATGGCGTGGCCACGTTTGATTCGGGGGAGGGGGGGGGGGCTCCGCAGGCTGATTACGGGGCAGCTGCCTATGGCCATGGCAGAGGATGAGCATTTTTTTGGAAGTTATTTGAGGAACTATTGCCGCCCACTGGATTAAATCATTAAATCACCTGTGACGGCTGTATTTGTGTCGCCATTGTCCCTGTGAAAGGCTGCACGCTGTGCACCATTAAGCAGGTTAAGATAATGTGCGTGTGGTTCATAGACATATTCCTGGGGAGCCCTGTGTGACAGACAGACAGACAGACAGACCGCAGTCACCAGCGAGAGCCGGACTGGGGTTTGGTCACAGGGAGGGTCACGCTTCAGCACCCCCATCTGCTGCCCCCCCCGTAGGAGGATGTGGTATGGGGAAGCTGGGGCAGAGGGGAGGGAGAGTGACGATCAAGTTATTAGCATCTCGCCAGAGGAGGCTGGGCACACGGCAGCTGGTGCCAGGACGGGACCCAGTCTTGCAGAGATAATCAGATCTCTCTGCCTGCTCCCCTGCCGTCCTGTGCTTTGCCCCCCCCCCCCCCCCCCCCGCCTCTCGTCTCTTTGCTCCCCCTTGCCTGTACTTCTACCCGTTTACTCTTAGCTTATACACTGTATGAGCAGTTAAATGTTCCGACCGGGCCCCGCAGTGGATTTGAGGCATCCTCTGACTGTTTGCAGGGCTGGCTGTGCGAGCTGCTGCGCTGGAAAGAGAACCCGAGTCCGGATAACCGCACCCTCTGGGAGAACCTGTGCACCATCCGCCGCTTCCTGAACCTGCCGCAGGCCGAGCGGGACCTAGTGTACGAGGAGGAGTCCCGACACCATCACAACGAGCGTCTGCACACTGTGCTGCACCTGCCCTCCGACCCCCAGGTGAGTCGCCCCCCGCAGGCTGGGTGTCGCATGTCCTTGCTGCCATAGTACACATCTGCAGTGCAGAATTCCACCTCGCTAAGACTGACAGCCCCGCCCTTTACCCCACGCAGCCCCGTCGACCCAAACAGCCCCGCCCACTGCCCTACACGGCTCGGCCCACTGCCCCAAACAGCCCCGCCCACTGCCCTACACGGCTCGGCCCACTGCCCCAAACNGCCCACTGCCCCAAACAGCCCCGCCCACTGCCCTACACGGCTCGGCCCACTGCCCCAAACAGCCCCACCCCCGATCCAGCATTACTGATTAAATTGATTTTCCATGCCGCCTGCCAGAATCATTCCAGCACCGCACTGCAAACACACCAACACGCACAGCGCTCCGTATCTGGTTCAGCGCCGCAGCCATGAGCTGGAACTCCGGCTTCCGCCGTCGCTGCTGTTGACGCCTCTTTCATCACATCTGTCTATGTCCAGTTCAGCTAATGGCATTAATCTGCGACAGACCGGCATCCCGTCCGAGGCGTTAGCTGCCTTATACCCTCCTCTGCCTGGAAAAGACAGTAGGCTCCTCTATACCCTGTCCTGAATAAGCTGCTGAAGGATATACTCACATCTATGAGCATCATTCCATTAGTAGCATATATCATATACCCACATACAATTAATGAGTTTTCTCAGTACCGCCGATTTAAAAGCATATTCTAGTTTTGTGTCGAACTGTAGGGCGTAAAATATTTTGTCTTTTATCGAAAGTGGTCGCATTTTAATTAATGGTAATTCAACCCCTTCTCCACCAGTCACATCATCAGCATGCTGAAAGTGTGTAGCTGATGAGGTCTTTGTACTTGGGGCGGAAATACCCCATTAGAGATGTGAGACACGCCCTGACCTTGCCCCCCCGCAGCCGCCCCGCTCCCCTGATATTCCTGCAGTTCTCGGGGGCCGTGCCAGCTCTCGGGGGGCAGCGTGTGGCTCAGCCAAGCTGCTCTCACTCATCTGCATCATATGGGTTGCAGGCTCTGGCAGCATACCTCAGGGAAGCCCTGAAATTCCCTGAGCCTGCAGAGGGGTCAGTAAGGAGGATCTGCCGCTCGTCTAATGGTGTCTCAGCTGAGCTGAGCGTAGGATATTATAATCAACTAATACAGCCGCTGTAGCAGGAAAAATGACGGTCTGATTTGTAATTGATTCCCCTTGGTGAATAGCAGACTGGTGACCCCTCCTGCTTTGATTGCAGGATCGTCACGCTGACCTTCATGCGACATGCTATTATGGCAATCTGAAGGCACGAGTGCTGTGATTTTTAGCTCATGGTGATTTGGCATAGTGCACGTTTGAATGTGTGGCACTTAGTGGCTGATCTTGGGTGCCAGGGAGGATATTCCGGAACGCACTGGGAATCTGCGTGTGACGTCCTTTAGTGCTAGACGGGGGTGCAGGGTTCCTTAGGGTGCATGTTTAAGGGGGCTAGAGGTCAGTGTGAGATCAGCACGAGTCAGCTTGTTCGGAAACCGTTCCCTTTTGTCCTCCTATCGTCTGTAATGCCAAGGACTTTTCAGGATGGAACGCTGGGGCGGCACTGATCCAGAAACAGCAGCGTTGTATGAGGCAGTAATTTGCATTGTTGCATTGTTTGTTGCATTGGTCTTACAGAAACAGGCAGAACTGCATCCTGAGCACAGGGCGAATATGAGCGTATTAGCATTGACGTCCAATGGACGAGACTCTGTTTAATGGGCAGTTTATATGACCACAGGGGGACAGCATCCTGAAAGCCCCCCCCCCCGGCTCTTCCCCGTGTCCCCCTGTGTGGCTGAGCGAGACACGCTGTCCAGAGTGGCACTGAGCAATCGCTTGGGGAAAGCCAGCTGAGCCAGCCCCCCCGGGACGGCCGCCAAATCGCCTTCTCTGCCTCCTGCGATCTGCCGTTTTCCTTTACTTGTTTTTAATAAATGAGCATCTTAGGAAGGAAACTGTGGTCGTACTATTAACACATTCCTGTGTTGCTCTCACACAGAGGCAGCACCGAAAGAGGCTGGGACATAAAGGGGCTAAAAATAACATCCCACAGAGGCAGCGCGGCCCAGATTGGGCCGGGAGGGACTTGGCAGTGCGGAGGGGTCATAGCGGGCGAGGGGGAAACAGGGGCGGGGGGGTGGGGCGCTTTGTGCGCACGGTCAGTCGGCGGAGACTGGGGGATGCTGCGTGAAGGTGTGGCCGGATCCTACACCGCGGCCCGTTTGGGTGGCCGCTCCCGGTGAGGCTGCTTAGCTATTGTTGGGGTTTTCGCTTTGCTAACGAGAGCCCCTCCTCAGATCAGCCCCCACAGCACCCCCACACCCTCTCGGCTCCAGCCAGCCTGCCACCACAGGCCACACATGGCTCCCAGCTGCAACAGCGATCAGTCTCACCCGTGCAACACACACACACACACACGCACGCACATGAGCACCGTAACACACGGGTTGACACAACCCCGAACGTACGAGCACAGGCCTGAATGAACCAAATTACATGGTCACACTGTCAGCTCCCTACACTCAGCCCCTGGAAAGCTGCCTGTAAGGCAGCACCTATAGCACGTCAATACTGCTGCAGCATCCAACGTGTAAACCCAGCTAGTGCCTGTACATTCACAGCCAGCGGTGCGACATTCTGCCTGTTATTAACTCCTCAGGCAGCTCAGCAATCTGTATCCACTCCTGTCTGTCGCTAGTTTTGAACCTCAGATCAGAACTTGTAGAAAATTCAGTGCAACTTCTCCGATATTAACAGCAGTTTCACAGGGCAGCTGTGGGGGGGCATGGACTTATTTATAATATATAATTCTCTACTGATATTTACATAAATGAGGTGACAGCGCTGCCCTTGGCTAAATTTGAGGACGTAGGCATCATTAATAACTTCTGCTTTGATTTTTCTGGATTGGATCTGTGCAGTGAGCCTCTGCCAGCTCTGCTGTAGCACAACAGCTGTTCATTCTACCTGCTCTGTCTAAATGGGGACCTTCTATTCATTTCTATGGGAGAAACCCTAATCCCAAGCAGCCTTAACCCCACCCAGCCCTAACCTTCTATTCATTTCTATGGGAGAAACCCTAATCCCAAGCAGCCTTAACCCCACCCAGCCCTAACCTTCTATTCATTTCTATGGGAGAAACCCTAATCCCAAGCAGCCTTAACCCCACCCAGCCCTAACCTTCCATTCATTTCTATGGGAGAAACCCTAATCCCAAGCAGCCTTAACCCCACCCAGCCCTAACCTTCCATTCATTTCTATGGGAGAAACCCT